ATGTTCACGGATGCTGGGGATTCAGATGTGGTGTCTTTGGGAGGCCTTTATTTGCCTAGCATAGCCATCCCTTCTGTTACTCAAGGTCTGAACACTGTTTTCTTCCCACGACTTTTTATTTCTGCTTCTACTTCTGCCTTTGATCCATCCAGCTGTCCTCCTGTGGTCAGAGAATCTGACTGGCTCATTGTACTATTGTTTATACAGATTTTTTGCACTTGACCCCTTGCAGGCCACTAATTCATAGCTGCTCTCAGGTCTGATATGTCCTAATACAGCTAAGCAGGGACCAAGGTCAAGGCCATGTGTTAGAATATTGCTACCCATTTATAACAAAACTCCTGGGGCTCCTCTTTCATTGGGGACTGTCAAAGGGGAAACTCCTCGAGAGATGGCTGTGGGCATGGCCGAGACCCCGATTGCTTGTGCAGGAACAGGTTCCAGGGGAGGGACGTAAATGTACAGTATTGGGGGAAGGAGTTGTCAAAATGTACATATTTAAGCTTTAATATGCATGAATTGGACTGTGTTTCTATTTAGGGAACTTAACTTACTCATGAGCTGCCATTCTCTCTCCAGAGAGAGGAAAAATACTTGTCTCACCATTTCAAGGTTAGCTTTTTTTAGTTCAAAAGAGGCTTTTGTGGTCCATTATAAATTTAATAAATTTTAATTTCCAACTCCCTTTCACTATTCTCTCAAGTTCTTGACTGGCATCTGGGTGCAAGGGGAAACTTGTGTGACAGAATGTGTAGTGTATTTGCCCTCTTCTTCACTTGGCATAGATATTGAATGTGATTACCACTAAGAACTTGGTCAATATCCTCATCCTGCTGAGAGCCCCTCAGCTCTGGGTGGTTTTCATCCTCCTCCAGCTGGACCTCTGCTTCCCCTGTCCATCCTCAGTCTCTGCATTGGGATCCCCTGGCCATGCACCAAGGACAGTCTCCTAGTAGACATACTGTCCCTTAATTCTCAGCTGCCTTTCTTGCATATCCCAAGGGGCTTTTCTCTTTCGCTACATCCTGCTGAAGCCAAGGGACAATCTGAGCAGAATGGTATTGCAGACTCACTGTGCCTAACCACACCTCGTCACCATTTTTTCTCCTGCTGGTCTGGACAGTGGATCGATCCTTTATGATGTGGAACGCGACTGAAACTCCCTCCACTCTGATATTCCAAAGCCTGAATCCCAGTGTTCACACTAATACAATGACTAATTGAATGTACTTAAGTTTCTTAAAGTGAATGGTATAGAGAAGCTGCCTGAAAGTGGTTGTTAATCTAATCTTCTATGTCATTCAGAACTTGGAAGCATGTCTAACTTTCAGTGAGCATCTCTGGGGTGTCTGTATTATTCCGTGGTACAATTCATGGCATAATACTAAGTATTATGGTTTCTGAAACATTTCTCCAAGTATGTTTATTAAGCAGTTATATCAGTGAGTGGTGTCACCTTTTAGATAGTGCACTCGAGGTTATTTTATTTTTATTTTATTTTTTTATCCTCACCCGAGGGCATTTTTCCATCTTTTATTCAGATAGAGCGGGAGGGAGAGAGAGAAAGAGAGAGAGAGAGAAACATCGATGTGAAGGGACACATCGAGTGGCTGCCACCCGCACGACCAACCAGGGCCGGGGACAAACTGCAACCGAGGTACATGCCCTTAGCGGGAACCGAACCCGGGTCTCTCTGTACCGCAGGCCGATGCTCCAACTGCTGAGCCAAACCGGCCAGGGCACACTCGAGGTTATTTTAAATGTGTTATTCTGAAGATTATCTTGAAACTAGAGCAAAGAGACTTAGAAAGAAGTTTCCAGTGGAAAAGGTGGGTAAACCATATTCTCTGTTGTCACTACCACAAAACTTTGTCTATCAGTGTAATAGTGAAAGAACATTAAAGCTAGTTAATTAAAACTGTAAGAAAGAAAGAATATACAGGCGACAAGTATTCTCTTGTCAAAACTTGTTTCAAGGATGGCAGGGGGAGGACCTGAAGTATAGAAAACTTAAAGCGTACTCGTGTCCGTCAGGAGGACAAGGCATCCTGTCCTGGGGCCTCTTCGAGCTGCAGCTTCTCAGGCGGAAGTGGAAGCCAGTGTCACCCGGCCCATGAGGAGTCAGCATGTGGTTTGAATGGAGCTTGTCTGGTGCCAAAAACTCATATCATTTCCACCATGACCTTTTTCTTTCAGAAAGGACACTGGACAAAATGCTAAAGCAAATAAAAACAATTTTTAATATATATATATTTTTTTATCCTCACCCGAGGACATTTTTCCATTTTTTGTTCAGCTAGAGTGGGAGGGAGAGAGAGGAACAGATAGAGAGAGAGAAACATCAATGTGAAAGGAACACACCGAGTGGCTGCCACCCGCACGACCTACCAGGGCCGGGGACAAACTGCAACTGAGGTACGTGCCCTTAGCGGGAACCGAAGCCGGGTCTCTCAGGACCGCAGGCTGATGCTCTAACTGCTGAGCCAAACCGGCCAAAGCTTTAATATGTTTTTATTGATTTTTTTTAGAGAGAGAGGAAGGAGAGAGAGATAGAAACAGCAATGTGAGAGAGATACACTGATCAGCTGCCTCCTGCACGCCCCCTACTGGGGATCGAACCCAAAACCTGGGCATGTGCCCTGACCTGGAATAGAACCAGGATCTGAGTCCCTGAGGTCCACGCTCTGAGCAACAGTAGCTGGGATATATATATATAATTCTTAAGTATCTTTTCTTTTCCTCTTTCTAGTATTTATTTTTCCTTTAAAATATAGCCCTCCCCACAGGGTAGGGTTGGATCCCCGAGGGCGGGGCTGCTGCCTCTCCCCAGAGCCCCGGGAAGGAGCAGGGCTCCTTATACCTGAAAAGGACACCAGGATATGTACAGTGGGGGTTAGACCTAAGCTTCCTTAACTTTATTTATTTAAAGCTTATTTGCAAACTAGACCTTGTTTTTTTTTTATTTTCTAAACATTTAAAAATTACCCTAGAAACAGAATTTGAGAGAATACTTTATATATATATATATTTATATATATATATATATATATATTTTTGAGAGGATAGGTATATACCTGAACTAAATTCTTTCTTCAGATTCATAATCTTTTCATACTTTAAAGTACCTGTAATGTTCCTGGCATATGTAGGTAGTGACTTAGTAAATGGCATTATTTATAGTACATAATGTGAACTGTAGACTGTGCATCCTGAACTAATCTTCACCAACTCTGAATTATATTGTAGTCTCTATGCCACAGGAAGGAGGTTAGACTTCATACAGAAAGGAACAAGATATTAATGGTTCAAAGCACAGCTGCCTTTCGTACCAATTAGTTATCTTGGTTTTACTGCAAAGAACTAAATATCCTGGATCAATTAAAGTGATGTTGCGGTTTATCTTTTTGTACCCTGATCAATCAATCTATTCGGGAGGTCATGTTCCTGGATGTCATCTTAGGCTGAAATGAAAGAGGGAGCCTTCAGTTGGATGGATTTCCTCATGGAGAACCTGGGTCTTTCAGATAGAGCTTGATAATCTGCCCCTCAGATGAAAGCACAAGCTGTCCAGTAATATGCAGGAATCCTGGATGAAAGTAAATATGGGGATTATGTACGATTAAATGACTGTGGCTTGAATAGTTGAAATGAAAAGCTACAACGTCAAAATTCAAATGAGTATGGGAAAAAACCCTCATAACTTAAATAAATCAAACGATTTTAGAAGTAAAAATTTTATCTAAATCTTTTAAAACGATTAGTTTTTACCGCTAAATAAAAAATTTAACTTTATGTAAAATTAACACACTCTGTTATAAATACATCTTAGCATATGTATCTGCGTTTGTTTGAAGGCAGTGTTTGTTCACCAGTAGCATCCATGCTCAGCTGGAACCGGGCTGTAGAACCTGTTGGTTGTAGCAGAATGCTGGAGATGTGCCAGAAAAACAGGGTTGAACTGGTTCCTGCATGTGCTTGGAGTCTCTTCTGATAAGATGGTAACAACTGCCAGGCTTGGCTTTCAAAGATGGTTTAGTCATGCATGTGCAACCCATCTGTTGGATGCTTAAGGGATTTCCTTCTCGCCTCAGCCCTCCAGCCACAAACATGGTTTCTGGTCCTCCTCCTGCCCCCCTTTCTTCAATTCTTCCTCTCCGCCAGGAATGTACAGGCTCTGCAAACCAGGTGCACCTGATACCACGCTAGGGCCCTCCTTCCATTGACACTGATGTGAGCCAGAATGTAGTCGGGCTTCCTTTTGCTGCCTAGCTTACTTTCGGTCTAGTTTGATTCAGCGATTTACAAACAAAACAAAACATATAATTTGATCATTAAAATATTCACACTACTACAGTTTTAACTAAACTTTAAAGTATACTTTGATGATCTTCAACTACTTCTCTGAGAAATGAAGCTCCCTGTGTCACCTTGATGAACCATAGCAGGGGCTTCATATACATTCGTTCGTTCGTTCGTTCATCCTCTCTCTGTCTCTCTGTCTTTCTCTCATTTCATGAGGTTTAGCAGCAAACACTTTAGCCTCTGTGGTTGCAGGGAGGGAAGACAGTGGGAAGCCTCTCTCAATACATTATCATCCCCCCCACCTTTGTTCACTGTACACATCCTCCAGGGCCGACCTCCCATACTTCAGTTCTACGGATTTATTTAAAATGCTGATGGCAGTTAATACCAGGTTTTGAGGTTGGAAGTACAATTTTAAGTTACAAAATTGCATATACAAAGCATTGTTGTACAAGTTGTTTTAAAGCCTGTTAACGTAACTATTTCGGCAAGCTGGTGGTCTTATAGCAAACTAATGTTTATATATATATACATATATATATTTTTGACACACCTAAACTCTGGAAAAGATCAAGGTGAAGAATGAAAAGGGTGGGTTTTTCTAATCAATTGTTTAGGATTTTAATACATTCTAATGTGAACTTATGAGCCAAATAAGCAATTATTGTTCTTAAAAATATTCTTTTGCCTTCACACAGATTTATGAGAAATACCAAGATTTGTATACTGTGGAACCAAATAATGCACGCCAGCTGGTGGAAATTGCAGCTAGGGATATTGAAAAACTTCTAAGCAACAGATCTAAAGCCTTGGTGGTGAGTTTAAATTGGGTCTGCTCATTTTATTATTTTCTATTACTTATTTTTTTCATGCTTTATTTGGAGGTTTTCTTTAGTATACTTTCTTTACCATGGAAACTGTTCATCTAATATGTTCATGAAAGGTGAGATACCAAGTTTTCATTGTGAATCCAAAATAATCAGTTAGCTTATTTCTAAATATTAGTTTTTTTATGTTAGGTGATTTTAATATACAGGAATAGTATATATACTTGGTACATGCATCTATTTATACATATGTTAAGATGTATAATAATAATGTTTAAATTTATCATACAACAGAAAACCCGTGAATATTGCCAGCACTCTTTTTTTTTTTCTTTATCCTCACCTGAGGACATTTTTCCATTTTTTGTTCAGTTGGAGTGGGAGGGAGAGAGAGGAAGAGAGAGAGAGAGAGAAACATCGACATAAAAGGGACACATTGAGTGGCAGCCACCCGCACAACCCAACCAGGGCCGGGGACAAACTGTAACTGAGGTACGCGCCCTTGTCAGGAACCGAACCTGGGTCTCTCTGGACCACAGGCTGACGCTCAAACCGCTGAGCCAAACCGGCCAGGGCTGCCAGTGCTCTTAAAGCTGTACTCTCCTGTCTCCTCACCTGCCTCCCTGCCAGAGGAGGCCAATACTCTAGATATTTGATTACTTATTTCTTTACTTTTTAAAAATAGTTGTACCACACATAAATGTTTTGCTAAACAACATATTTGTTAATTTTTTTTTCCATCTTTATTAAAATTACGTTGTACTGTATGTAGTTTTCAGCAACTTTCTTCCATCAACATTATATGATTTATCTGGAGGTTTGTACTTAGCTTTAATTTATTTGTATTCACAGTTAAATATTACTTTATGAGATTATATCTCAATTTTTTCATTTATTCTTTGTTGGTAAATTATTACTTGGATTGTTTCTGATGCTGCTAAATTTCCTTAAACAAGTTCTCTGGTACCATGTGCAAGGATATTGGTAGGGTCAGTAGAGAATTATTAGACCCTAGGTTATTCACAAAGTCAGCTTACCAAAATATGACAATTGTTTTCCAAAATAGTTTTATCAATTTAGATCTCTACTAGCAACATATGGGTCCCCATTGGTTTATTTTTGGCTGGTTAGTGGCCATGTCAGACTTCTTAATTGTAGGGAATCAAATGGGTGGAAAATGGTACCTCTGCTTATTACAGATGAGGTAGACGTCTTGTTTTGTAGTCATTTATCATTTTTGTTTCCTCTCCAGTGAGATATCTGTTTATATCTTTTTCACAGTTTCATTTTTTAATTGGTTTGTAGATTGTACAGGGGTAGACAAAAGTAGGTGTACAGGCGTGAGTACATAAGAGTTTATTCTTGTATTATTATTTATTAATTATTGCATTATTTATTTGTATTACAATTGTAAACCTACTTTTGCCCAGCTCTGGATAATATTGATGACTGTTCATTTAAGTTATGCACTATGTAATTTTTTTTCCTTGTTGTGACTTGTCTTTTCATTGTCTTTATGGTGTATTTTGATGAAATGCGTTGTTAATTTTAATGCAGTTGTAATCAATTAAAAAATTTATTAGTATTTTTGGGTATGAGTTTTATTTAAGAAATCCTTCCCTACCCTTATGTTATAAACATTATTTTATATATGGTATTTGAATAGGTTCTATGTCATTTAGATTTATTTAATTCACCTGCAAACAAAATCTGTCTATAATTTTAGTTTATAATTGAAGTTAAAAATTTTTAACCAATTTTTCCAGGGCCATTTATTAAATAGCTTGCCTTCCCTCAGTGAGCTCTAAATATCAAACTGGATGTCTGATAGGCCGATTTCTCACCATATTCTTCTTCAGAGGATCTTGAACTAAAGAAGATTCTTGAACGTTTACATTTTACCTAAATTTAGTGGGAATCGAACCCGAGTCTCTCTGGACCGCAGGCCGACGCTCTAACCGCTGAGCCAAACTGGCCAGAGCACTTTTAGCTAAATTTTAGCTTCAGCATGTTATTATTCAAGGATCTTTACTGGGATTTTGATTGGCATTATGTCAACTCAGACCAAATTGGGAAGAATTAATATCATTATGATATTTTGTCTTTTTATTTATAATGATGATATTGTTTTTATTCAGCAAATTTTTATGCCATTCAGAAAGTTAAAACATTTTTTTATGAAGTTCTTATACATCTTTTGTTAGATATGTCAGCACTTAAGTTTAGCCTATCCCATTTTACAACTCTCAGCATTATTACAGGTATTTGTCTCAGGACAACTCTGAATTTCCTGTTCAATTATCACTTACAGTTCAGAGTTTCAGCTTACTATATTACATATATCTTGATGCAGAAATTTCCCTTTGTTTTGGAGGCAATTATAAATCTTTTAAAACATTTTTTTTTCCTTTATTGATTTTAGAGAGAGAAAAAGTGAGAGGGAGAGAGAGACAGAAACAATGATGAGAGAGAACATCAATTGGCCACCTCCTGCATGCCCCCCACTGGGGATCAGACCCACAAGCTGGGCATGTGTCCTGACCTGGAATCGAACCGGCGACCTCTTGGTACATGGGCCGATGCTCACCTGCTGAGCTACACCAGCTGGACACAATTATAAATCTTTATGTTTCTTAAAATGTCTAGGATCTTGTAATGTAACAGGAGGGTCCTTTGGAATATTTGATATGCCATATTGTCAGTAGTTAAAACATTTAAGTTAAAAATTTTTAAGAAATATATAAATGAGTAATTGATGATAAGATAATCTTTCATGACGAGAAGATTCAAAACTCATTATCTTCAATTTTGGGTATGTGAATGCCACTTTTAGGTATCATTTATAAATGTAAAGTTTGTTTTCAATGAAAGTTTATCTAATAAAAATAAGATACTTTGTATGTAAGTGATTAATATTAACTTAATGACTGTAGATGATTTTATTTGTGTTGATTTTTATCAGCTTACATTTTGCCCCCAGATATAGGAAGCAGATAATCTGGACATAAAAGTCTCTTGAAAAACAAAATGAAATAGGACGAACCTTGCCTTAATTGGTTTAAAACGAGAGCCTGTTGAGACTTCTTTTTTTCCTTTTTTTTAGCTATTGGATTTAAAGTTCTAGACACCAGGTATATTATTTGAGTGCTGTGGGGGATCAGTGACCATCTTAAATGCAGTGTCAGAATACAGAGAACACAATGACTAATTAAATATAGACTTAGATGTTATGTCAGGCAGAAATACTTGTGTGTTTTCAAACTAAATTCTTTACTTAAGTCTTTTGATTCCACAAAAATAAAAAACACATTACTTAGCAACTATTTTGAGGTAATTGAAAAGCAGGTGCTACATTGTACTATAAATGAATGCAAGATGGCATTAATTTACCTCTATTTTTGTTGTAGAGCTTATACTCAGGGAAACTTCTGGATTAAAGGAGTTTAAACTTAGCTGGGTGGGATACCAATGTTATTCCATAAGTAAATATATTGGAAAAATCATGAATGTACACATTTGAGGTAGATGATAAAATTTAATACCAGTTAGACTTTATCGAGTGTTTACTAAGTAACATCACCTAATTATTTCTCACAATAATACTAAGCACTAGACATCATTATTTATCTCACTTTTCATGGGGAAATTGTATATTTGTTTAATAAGCAATGCCAGTGCTTCTCAAACTTTAATGTGCATATAGTTTAACTGTGGCTCTTGATAAAATGCAGATTTTTATTCAGTCGATCTGGCTAAAGATACTGCAAATCTTATTAGCTCCCAGGTGATGATAATGCTCCTGTATCAAGAATGTGAGATTCAAAATCAGGTGTGTCTGACTTCAAGATCTGTGTTTTTATTTATTGCACAAATATATCCTTTGGCATGAAGAAGTGTATAATTATATTCAGGAAGAAGTGCAGGTTAGGTAGTATGCTGTAAACTATCCTTCATTCACATGAAGAAATGATGTTTCAGTTAACAGAATATTCTGGAAGGCTATGGATTTTTCAATAAATCCTATATCAATTAGCCCTCTTCAAAAATGGTGATGGAAGGAGACTAACTTGGGTTGGTGAACACACAATACAACATACAGATGATGTATTATAGAATTGTATGCCTGAAACCTATATAATTTTATTAACCAGTGTCAATCCAATAAATTCAATAAAAAGGAAAAAAAGAGATTGAGAGTAAAGGAAGAGATGGTTGGAGGGATTTGAGGATTAAATATAACTACAAAGAGATTCACTCTGTAGTAAAGTAGGGTTGTAGATACAGGTACAGATTTATATATATATAATTTATTTATTTACTATATAAATACTTATATATAAATATTCTTTATATATATGTATGTAAGTTTATATATTCATATGGCAAATATCAAGATTCTTTTGATACATATACACCTTGAACAAATATGTATTAAAAATATAGAATGAAATTAATGGACCCACAAGGTCTCATCTCAAAGTGTACTAGAAAAATATTTTGGTAAAACATAAATTATCAAATAAAGAGACTACTGACATTTAAAAAAATGACTTAATAAAATAAAATATACATTATTCAAAAATTTATTTTTGTTTGAATTTGAAAAACATTTAAACATTTGTTTTTCAATATCAAGGTTATCAACGTACATACCCTTGAAAATATATTATAGATGTAAAATCTATGAAAAATAAGTAAGTTGAACTGGTCGTTGTCTCATACTTCCACTAAAGAAATTCCTTAGGAGTTTTTATAATTCCGTTTTTTTTATCCTCACCCGAGGACATTTTTGCATTTATCTTCAGATAGAGTGGGAGGGAGAGGGGGGAAAGAGAGAGAGAAAGAAACATCGATGTGAGAGAGACACATCGAGTGGTTGCCACCCACATGACCCCAACTAGGGCCGGGGACAAATTGCAACGGAGGTACGTGCCCTTAGCGGGAACCAACCCAGGACTCTCTGGTCCACAGGGCAGACGCTCTTAACT